GAAGCTGTCTATTTTACCAAGCTCAAACCACCTTTTTAGAAACCAGTGGATTCAAGAGTGCAGGATGGGTGAGCTGCGTGGTTTTGCCACTTTTCTCACGGGTCCTCCTAGGTCCCTGAGCTGAGGTCTGGCTGCAGGGGGGACCGTGTGCCTGCAACAGCCTGGTGATCCCATCTGAGGCTCAGGCTGATGGGGCGACCAAGGGCCACTGCGTCTGCATCAGGCGTTTGGACTGTGAAAACTCTGTCCCCCTCGGACAGAGAGCTTTATATCAGAACTTGGGAGGCGCCGGCTGGATTGTGCTCTTCTGCCCGGTGCCACTGTGCCAGCTAGATGCCTAGCAGGGAAAGCCAGCCGTGTGCAGGGAAACCAGGCGTTGTCTCCTGGGTCTGGGATTTCTCCTGCAGCCGTGGGCTGAGTACGCCCTCCGGAATCAGACAAGCCCATGGGTCAGATGCGTCTTTGCACTGGCGTGCTCTTCTGCGTATTTCCTCTGCTGTCAGTGAGAAAAGACTGGGGGAACCAGCAGTTAGCGTAATGGCTATGTCGCTGGACTCCCACATAGTCGACTGCAGTTCGCGTCCCGGACCCGGTGGCTTAAAACTCACCCCGGGCGCGTATGCATGCGTGCCCAAGATCCCAAGAGGAGAATGGAGGAGAAGGGATTGCAGTGTGGCCATCCCCCCTGGGGGTGATTTCTCGCTTTCTGTCTCTGTGTCTCTCTTTGTCTGTCTGGCGAGCACACGTGCCCTATAGCGAAAACCTCTCCAAAAAAAAAAAAAAAAGAGAGAAAAGACTGGGACCTGGGGCTGGCAGGTGGCAGGATGGTTTAGGTGCTGGACTCCCACCTGGCCAACTGCGGTTTGAAACCCTGACCTGGTGGCTTGCTTTGTCACTGTTTCTCTGTCTTTGTCTCTTTCTGGTCAAATTTAAAAATAATAAGAAATCAAATAAAATTGAGGCCAGCAGGTGGCGTGGTGGCTAAGGGTGCTGGACTGCCACATGGTCGACCAGGGTTCAAATCTGGACCTGGCGGCTTGAGTTCTCACTTTCTCTCTCTCTCTCTCTCTCTCTCTCCCTCTCCCTCTGCCTCTGCCTCTGCCTCTCCCTCTCCCTCTCCCTTTCCCTCTCTGGTCAAATTAAAATAAATAAAGTTAAATAAATAATTCTTTAAAAAATAAAATTAAGTAAATAATTATTTTAAAAAATAAAGACCCGAGATTCAACGTGACAGACAGAATGAAGGAAGGAAATCGGTGTGTTGCTCTCCTGCTATCCCACATCCAATCCTCCGCACTGAATGCCCTCACATACCCTCCCTGCAGCCGGACACAGGGACCATGGGTTAAAATCGAGGCATCGCAGACAGAGAGTCTCTGGGGGCGATAGGGTCTCATGGCATCAGCTCGTGGGGGAAGGAGTTTTGCTGTTCAGGAATGAGGCAAGAGTTGGAACCCACGTCCCTGACTTCACGTGTGAATCCGGGGCCGCCTGGAAGAAGGTGATAGGTGGGTTGCTGCTGTGTTCACCAGCGACACAGAAATAACATTTCAAAAGAACGTGCTCAGTGAGATTTCTGGTGTACGCACACCTCTAATTCCTTTCTCGTTCTCTGTCTTGCGTGCTCCTGCTACCCTCCCCCAAGGAAAATGACGGTGCGATTCTGTCTCGCCCCACTTTATTTTAACCATGACAAACTACCACCTGCGATCCACACACCAGCGCCGACGGCTCTGCGATCTTTGGTAATGAGATTCCGAGCCGAAGAAATGAAGGATCACATCTAATTGCTTTCGCTCCTCTAGAGATCCTCAGAGAAATCTTTAACATCTGGCTTGAAAAGTGATTGGGTTTTCCGAGACGGGCCCCTTCCCTGATTTCACACATTCTCCTACCTCTTCAGAATTCACGAAAGGAAAGGATGATCTTTTCATGTAAATGTGATTTTTTTTCCCAATAGGTTCTAAGGAGGCATCTTTCCTTCAAGAATGGTAATTTTGCAGAAGAATAGATTTCAGAAAAGATACCCACATGCGTCTATATGATTACAAAGCATACAAATAAGCTAGATGCCTGGGAGATTGGATTGAAAATAAATGTTTCGACATGTTCAGTGGATCCCCCCCCTTTATCTTTTTTTCCCTAAAGAGGCTGTGCTCTTACCGCCAGATGAGTAACCATGTAATTTTGTTTTGTTTTTCCATATCATACATCATGTGTGTATCAGGTGGCCGGCTTAACTTCACATTAATTTTTTTTAATAATTATTTATTTTATTTTTATTTATTCATTCATTTTTTTTTTAATCTGACCAGAGAGAGACAGAGGGCGAGAGTGAGAGAGAGAGAGAGGAAGTGAGAAAGCAAGCCACCAGATTCAGGACTTGAACCCTGGTCGGCCATGTGGGAGTGTCCAGTGCCTTAACCACCGTGCCACCTGCTGGTCCCCAACCTCAGATTAATTTTTATGTATACCTCTCCAAAGGATGACTGTGACAGATGTCAGCTATTTTAATTTAAATGTGTGTATTTGGCAACAGCAAACGTGCAGGACAATACATCTTCGAAGAAGCCCCGAAGGATACGCTGAACTTCTTTTCTCCTTTGGGGATCATGAGAGACTGCAGAGGATAAGGCTGTAAAATGTAGAATAATGTTGTGTATAAGGTCAACTTCCAGCACCACCCGGACTCTCATTTATTTCTTTTTCTCCAGTGACCCTTCCTGCTCATAGGTGCTGCCCGCGAGGTAGACAGTCATAAGGAATTTATCATTTAGATTAATTAAGTCCCCGGATTCTGTGGATTTCTGTGGGATCTGCAGTGACAAATTGGTGTTGGCCTGATTTTCCATTTTCAGCTTAAAGACACTAATTCTTGGCCCGAGGGCATTGTCTTGTAACAAGTCTCACCACGTGTGGTATCAGTCCTGTTTTTAAAATTCAGTGCAGCTGGGACCAGCAAATGGCATAATGGTTACGTCACTGGTCTCCCATGTGGTTGACTTCAGTTTGAGTCCTGGACCCGGCAGCTTAAAACTCACACTGGGCATGTGTGCATGCATGGCCCAAATCCCAGGAGGACAGTGGAGAAGGGATTGCTGTGTGGCCATCTCCTGGGGGATGATTTCTTGCTTTCTATCTCTCTCTGTCTTTCTGGTGAGTGCACACACATCCTATAGCAAAAATTTCTCTCTAAAAAAAAAGAACAAGAATGCAACTGTAAGTCTTTATCGACTAGATATTGCGTTCCTGAATAACTGATGTCTTTCCTTTTTTCCTCTAGGATCTCAGAGCAGCGTGCAATGTCTGTGTCCTCATGAAAAGTGTCCGTGGGGACATGTGCAATCAGGTAAGTTTAAATTTCTCGTTCCTTCATGATGTTGGGGCCTTTGACGTGCGTGTTTCGGTAGAGTCCCAGCCTTCATCTGTTTTTTTGTTTTGTTTTGTTTATCTGTAACTTGCCTCTCCTGAACCATAGCTGCTGTACCTGCAGAAGCTAAGTGCAGTCATGGTCCAAAGCTGGGATTTTGAGAAACTTGTGTTTATTTAAAAAAAAAAAAAAAAAAGTGATTTAGAGGCCAGCAGGTGGCATGGTGGTTGAGGTGCTGGACTCCCACATGGTCCACCCTACTTCAAGTCCTGGACTTGGTGACTTGCTTTCTCACTATCTTTCTCTCTCTCTCTCTGTGTGTGTGTGTGTGTGTGTCTGTCTGTCTGTCTCTCTCTGGAGAGCCTAAGTGCCCTATAGCATATTAAAAAAACAATAATAATAAAATTTTTTTAAAAAAAATAAAGGTGATTCATAACATGCCCTAAGCCTCCAACAATATTCTACCGTGATTTTGAGATGTTAGAAGTAGAATATGGGGGCCAGCAGATGGCATAGTGGTTAAGGCTCTGGACTCCCACACGGTTGACCATGGTGCAAGTCTGACTCAGAGGCTTGAAACTCACACCAGGTGCATGTGCCCGTATGCCCAAAACCCTGAGAAGAGAATAGAGGAGAAGGGATGGTAGTGTGGCCAACCCCTCGGGGGGGGGGTAATTTCTAGCTTTCTGTCTCTCCAGCGAGTGCACCTGCCATATAGCAGAAATCTCCATCTCTCTCTAAAAAAGAGAAAGAGAGAAGGAGAGAGAGAAACAGAAGTGGAGGGAGGAGGAGCAACAGAGAGATTTTTTACACCATGATCTACTCAAGCCTCAACAACAAGGGTCTTGGTGGCAATTCCTACCCAGCATGTACAGAGAGGCCCCAGAATGTGAAGCTGGGACCCACCGTGTGGCTTCGGTATTATGGAGTGTTGACTTCAGCTCCTTTGGGGATCATGAGAGACTGCAGAGGATAAGGCTGTAAAATGTAGAATAATGTTGTGTATAAGGTCAACTTCCAGCACCACCCGGACTCTCATTTATTTCTTTTTCTCCAGTGACCCTTCCTGCTCATAGGTGCTGCCCGCGAGGTAGACAGTCATAAGGAATTTATCATTTAGATTAATTAAGTCCCCGGATTCTGTGGATTTCTGTGGGATCTGCAGTGACAAATTGGTGTTGGCCTGATTTTCCATTTTCAGCTTAAAGACACTAATTCTTGGCCCGAGGGCATTGTCTTGTAACAAGTCTCACCACGTGTGGTATCAGTCCTGTTTTTAAAATTCAGTGCAGCTGGGACCAGCAAATGGCATAATGGTTACGTCACTGGTCTCCCATGTGGTTGACTTCAGTTTGAGTCCTGGACCCGGCAGCTTAAAACTCACACTGGGCATGTGTGCATGCATGGCCCAAATCCCAGGAGGACAGTGGAGAAGGGATTGCTGTGTGGCCATCTCCTGGGGGATGATTTCTTGCTTTCTATCTCTCTCTGTCTTTCTGGTGAGTGCACACACATCCTATAGCAAAAATTTCTCTCTAAAAAAAAAGAACAAGAATGCAACTGTAAGTCTTTATCGACTAGATATTGCGTTCCTGAATAACTGATGTCTTTCCTTTTTTCCTCTAGGATCTCAGAGCAGCGTGCAATGTCTGTGTCCTCATGAAAAGTGTCCGTGGGGACATGTGCAATCAGGTAAGTTTAAATTTCTCGTTCCTTCATGATGTTGGGGCCTTTGACGTGCGTGTTTCGGTAGAGTCCCAGCCTTCATCTGTTTTTTTGTTTTGTTTTGTTTATCTGTAACTTGCCTCTCCTGAACCATAGCTGCTGTACCTGCAGAAGCTAAGTGCAGTCATGGTCCAAAGCTGGGATTTTGAGAAACTTGTGTTTATTTAAAAAAAAAAAAAAAAAAGTGATTTAGAGGCCAGCAGGTGGCATGGTGGTTGAGGTGCTGGACTCCCACATGGTCCACCCTACTTCAAGTCCTGGACTTGGTGACTTGCTTTCTCACTATCTTTCTCTCTCTCTCTCTGTGTGTGTGTGTGTGTGTGTCTGTCTGTCTGTCTCTCTCTGGAGAGCCTAAGTGCCCTATAGCATATTAAAAAAACAATAATAATAAAATTTTTTTAAAAAAAATAAAGGTGATTCATAACATGCCCTAAGCCTCCAACAATATTCTACCGTGATTTTGAGATGTTAGAAGTAGAATATGGGGGCCAGCAGATGGCATAGTGGTTAAGGCTCTGGACTCCCACACGGTTGACCATGGTGCAAGTCTGACTCAGAGGCTTGAAACTCACACCAGGTGCATGTGCCCGTATGCCCAAAACCCTGAGAAGAGAATAGAGGAGAAGGGATGGTAGTGTGGCCAACCCCTCGGGGGGGGGGTAATTTCTAGCTTTCTGTCTCTCCAGCGAGTGCACCTGCCATATAGCAGAAATCTCCATCTCTCTCTAAAAAAGAGAAAGAGAGAAGGAGAGAGAGAAACAGAAGTGGAGGGAGGAGGAGCAACAGAGAGATTTTTTACACCATGATCTACTCAAGCCTCAACAACAAGGGTCTTGGTGGCAATTCCTACCCAGCATGTACAGAGAGGCCCCAGAATGTGAAGCTGGGACCCACCGTGTGGCTTCGGTATTATGGAGTGTTGACTTCAGTGTCACCATGGTTGGTCTGATAGCTCCTTTACATGGTAGGGTCATGGTAGTTTGTGTGTGTGTGTGTGTGTGTGTGTGTGTGTGTGTCATAGATCACTTAAAAGATAGACAGTTGCTTGAAAAGCACTTAGGATCCAAAAATGGTTATAACTGATTTGCATGAGGTACCTCATATCAGGGTTCCCTGTCTATTGAAGAAGTCATTAAATATATTCGTGTTGATACTTTACCCTTTGACCACATGTCCAATCATTACTTCATTGAAGCCTCCAACAGACCGATGAGTTTGTCTAGATCAATACTATGTGGATTGTAGAAGAGGAGCTGGAGAGTTTGAATGGCTTGCCCTAGTTCCACAGCTCATGTGTGAAGAGTCCCGTGTGTTCACCTAGAGCTTTTTCTATTCTTTGTCCTAAGATTGTCCTAAAATGGGCCACGCCAATTCAAAAGAGCAAAAGTCAGCCTATAAGAAGATACAAATTCAATGCTGTCTAATCATTGACCGAAGATGGAAGAGTTGGGTGGTGGTTCTTGGGTAACCCTAAGAAACCTGCTCTTGTGGGTTACTTTCTTGGTCTGTCTTGAACCAGTCTCCAAATGTGGTCTTTGGTACAACTCATCTTCAGGGAGCATCCAAAGGCTGCCTCAGAAGAGGGACTTGCACAAAATCTCACATTCTTTATGCCAACATGCAGGTGTATCACCCTGCACTCTTCCCAACTGAAGGGACATAGGAATCACACTTGGTACCTTCTCCGAAGGCACGTGCCTGCCATGTTTTTATCCCCTTGAAATCCTTGATCAGGAGAAGGAGTCAGACGCTCGGGGAATACTTCCTCTCTCCAATTTGCCTTTCTCCCTCCCCTCATTTTGGTGTGCACCGTCTGTTAAATCCGGGTGTCCCATTCAAAGTTGCAGTTTTCACATCCTTTATGTGCATAGTGTCTACAAAATTTTCAACCACGAGCCAGAGAAACTCCACAATTTTAGTACGAGATAGCACAGGTAAGATGGCTTTCTGCAAAAACAAGACAAGCACCCTTTGGAGTCCCACAGATCTGTCTTCAGATGCTAGTTCCCTGACCTTGGCTGTCTTGTCAAGTTGTCCAAGGCTCGATCTTCCAGACAGCATCAGTTGTCCTGTCAGATGCCCTCCCTACATCCATGTCCTTTGTAATTAGCTCCACACAACTCAGGTCTTTGCAGGACTTTGCAAAAAGCAACAAACACCTTCCCTTGGTGCATTTTGATACATTTGGTACGTTACCTTTCTTTTGATTCTGCGCTAGGTCAGAATGAATTGTAATTATTGGTTGAAAATGCACGCAGCCTTTTGGGGTGAGTTGCATGTGTCGGGGTAGAAAGAACATGCCCGGGGTTCATACTCGATCCTCAGAGCAACTCAGGACTCAGCTCCTTTGCAGTCTTCTGTTATTTCTGACTCTAGACTTGTATCTGCTTTGATCAATGTGACCTAAGGAGAGGTTGGAAAAGCTCTGCGGCCCTTTTGCTTCCTTCCTTTGACAGCAGTCACAAGCCTGGTCTAGCCTATGGCGAACTCCCAGCATATGGCTTCAAACGCAGCATCAAGCCCATCCAAGATGAAATAGGCTCATTCTAGATTCGAAATGCCTCCTATCTAGTTCACACACATGTGAGAAATAATAAACGGTTGTGTGTGTGTTTAAGCCACCATGTGTTGGAACGGTTTGTTACACAGCAGTAGCTGACTTGTATTCCATTAGGTATGCTGTGGCTAACTGATACACTTACCAATAAGATTTATAATGCCTATTGCACAAGGCTATTATGAGAATAAATGAGCTCATGCTCATAAAGAGTTCTCCCTTTTTCTGGGACACCAAAGGTATCAGAGTGATAACTAAGAATTTAAGAAAGATGATGTGTAAAAGGCTGAGGTCTTTTTTCTCAGTTAGAAGTAAGCTGGTAGTTAGAACAGATTGTTAATGGTGGACAAGAATTTCCGTGTTCTCCTTGGCCATCCTGTATTTCAGATATTACGGCAATTATTCCAAAGCACTGAATTGAAGCAAAATGTTGGCTATTGTTTTCTCTTTGGGGGGGTTAATGGGTGTTAGGTTGTAGCTCTAAAACCATTTTCTATCCAATAGTCCCACGGTAATTTTTGGTCTGAAGAAATAAATTTGCATCATCAAATGCCAATTCCTAATAACCCCAGCCACCTTCGAGAAAGTAAAGGTACATACATGACATTTTTGTGATTTCTATAAGGCATTGAACTTTGATCCAAATTTATATCCTATTTAAATGACACCTCAGAAATCATTCATTTTACTGTTTAGCAAAGAACCTTTGTAATTAGCGACTTAGAATTCAGATCTTTAATGGGTGGTATGCCAAGTGGCCACCAAGCTGCCCCCAGACACCGTTTTATAGTTTCAAGCCAGCACGACCGGACTTTAGATTGAGGATGACCTGAACTAAGATTAAATGATAATTATTTGGTGCAACTAGGCATGATCCCCTGGTATGAATGAAGTGTGGCACAGTGAAAAGAACTTGCACTGGTTCTCCCAGAGGGGAGCAATGAGGCTGCCCTCTTTTTTTTATTTTTATTAATAATAGAGAGTGCATGTATGCATGAGAGGGAGAGAGAGAGAGACAGAGAGACAGAGAGAGAGACATCTTTTTTATTTTAGAGGATTTTGTCTTAGGGCACATGCACTTGCTGGAGAGAGACAGAGACAGTGAGAGATAAAGTGAGAAATCCCTCTCTGGGGGGATGGCCATGCCACTATCTTTTCTCCTCTATGCTCCTCTCAGGATCTTGGGCATGCACGTACATGCACCTGGCATGATTTTCAAGCCACCGGGTCCGGGACTCAAACCATGGTCGGCCTTGTGAGAGTCCAGTGACATAATTACTACATCATCTAGTGGTTCAAGAGAAGCATCCTTGACAGTGTCTTGCTATGCTGTGGTCCCCTCTCAGCCTTCCAGCTTATCAGGATCTTGGGAGTGCATGCAGTTGCTCAACATGCTTTCAGGGCGACCCAGGGATTCAACTCTGTGGTCAGCCATGTGTCTTCCAACTTCCAATACAGTCTGCTACTCACTCTGCCTCCAGGCTGGGCCCGTGACAGTGCTATGATGGTTAGCTAGTGAATTTTTGACCCAGGACATCCTTCATGGATGGAACTGGAATTTGAGCTCAGGATCTCATTGAGTCTGGAGAAGAGTTGTTCCCATAGGATGGCAATGTCCACAGTAGAGTGGTCTGTCTGCGTTTGTTGATCAATGCCCTATTAAAATGTCTTTGACTTCCGGTACCAGTAGTTGGCGTAATGGCCATGTCACTGGACTCCCATGTCGTCGACCGCAGTTCGAGTCCCGGACCTGGTGGCTTAAACTCATGCCGGAAACATGTGCATGCATGCCCAAGATCCCAAGAGGAGAATGGAGGAGAAGGGATTGCGGTGTGGCCATCCCCTCTGGGGGTGGGGGTGGGGGTGGTGATTTCTCATTTTCTGTGTCTCTGTCTCTCTCCATCTTTCTGATGAGTGCATGCACCCTATAGCAGAAACCTCTCCAGAAAAAGAAAAAATATCTTTGACTTTTGTTGGTTAACTCTGTCTTCCTTACCACCGCCATGACTTTTCTTAAATAGAACACTGCTTCTGATTGTCCCTTTTGGAGAGGTCCCTTCTGCTAACCCTACAGACTTAACAGGAGAATGTAAGGTGGTACTCACAACACTCTTCCCTTTATGGGATATTTTTGTCTTGCTTCTCATTGATACTGTCCATTGGAGACTACTGAACCAACCAGAGTACGCTTGGCAGGCCTCCGGCTGAATTTTTCGTTTCGGCTGTGGGAGTGCAGAAGGCTGTTTAATTTATGGAAACATTGCCTTTCTGGGAGCTCAGGAGATGCAGAACTAAGCCCTACATTCCTGAGGGATGCAGGAGAATAAAGTCTGTTAATTGGACTCAGGGTGCCCTGTGTCGAGGGGTCTCCTCAGCCACTTTGATGTCTGTCTTTGGTCCCTAGGAGGTT